CAAAAAAAAAAAAAAAAGAACTCTTACAATAAAAAGACAAATAGCCCAATTTAAAAATGAGCAAAGGGGAGGTGAGTTGGCGAAAAGTGGTGAAAAAAAATGAGCAAAGGATCTGAACAAACATTTCTCCAAACAAGATATACAGTTGACCAATAAACACATGAAAAGATGCTCAACATCATCAGTCATTAGGGAAATGCAAATCAAAACCTCAAGGAGATGGTACTTCACATCTAATAGGATGAAGATAACAAAAGATGCTGACGATAATAAGTGCTGGCAAGGATTGGAGAAATTGAAATCCTCACACTCTATTGATGGGAATGTAAAATGGTGCAGCTGCTTTGGAAAACTGTCTGGTAGTTCCTCATAAACGTTAAACATAGAGTTACCAAATGACAGCAATTCCACTCCTAGGTATTAAATATATACCCCAGTTTTTGTGTCTACACAAAAACTTGTACACATATGTTCACAGCAGCATTATTCATAATAGCCAAAAAGCGTAAACAACCCAAAAGTCTATCAACTGATTAACAGATAAACATGTAGTATATCCATATAAGACATATTATTAATCCATAAAATGGATAAAGCACTGATATATGCTACAACATGTATGAAGCTTAAAAACATGCTTGGTGAAAGAAGCCAGACCAAAAGACCACATATTGTATGATTCCATCCATATGAAATGTCCAGAATAGGAAAATCCAGAGACAGAAAGTAGACTGGGGGTGGGGAGGGGGGAGAAATGGGGAGTGACTGCTAATAAGTATGGGGTTTCTTTTTGAGGCGATGAAAATGTTTGGGAATTAGATACTGGTGGTGGTTGCACAACTTTGTGAATGTGCTAAAAACCACTGAACTGTATACTTTAAAAGGTTTAACTTTATGATATGTGAATTACATCTCGATAAGTAAAATTTAAATAGCCACACGTCTAGTGGCTACTGTATTGGAGAGTGCAGCTCTGAAGGAAGGTACTGGTGGATCTTAGGGATGAGGACCATGGGAATCTGCCCCCTTGGGGATCAAACGAAAGGAGATAGAGACAGCACACGCATACCCAGCTGTCTCTGCTGAGGCAGAAGGGAGTGTGTGGGGTCCACTTTCTTCAGGACCATGAAGGCCATAGGTTATGGGGCAGGACCTCAGCCAGAGTCACAAGCTTTTCTACTGAATGACACAGGTCTTCTCCATTTCCTGAGTTCCAAAAATCATCAAATCAAAGTGCAATGATTTATATTCCCCCAAATTCATATATTGAAATCCAAACTGTCAAGTGGATGGTATTAAGAGGGGAAGGCCTTTGGGAAGTAATTAGGTCATGAGGGCTATGCCTTCATGGGAATAGAATTAGTGTCCTCATGAAAGAGGCCGGAGGGAGCCTGTGTGCCCATTCCTCCATGTGAGGACAGAGAAAGGTTGGCAGTCTGCAACCCAGAAAAGGGCCCTCGCCAGAACCCCACCATGCTGGCGTTTTAATCTCAGACTTTTCGGCCTCCAGAACTTTGAGAAATACATTTCTGTTGTTTATAAGTTAGTCTCTTGTATTTTGTTATAGCAGTCTGAACGGACTAAGACACAAAAGTGTCACTGAATGTACCAATGTCAAGGAAGTAAGGCTCTAGTCTTCTTATAACCCTCCTCTCTAACCTGCTGACTGTATTTTGTATTCACATCATCAAGACTACCCAAAGTGTCACTGTCATTCAGTCTTAGGGATCACTGGACTGTGTAGAACAGCACCAGCAATTACACTGGCATTGCACCAGAGACAGGGAAATAGACCCAGGGGTTTAAAGCACAATGACATGGAGGAGGAAGAGAAATAATATGGAATGGGGCTTTTTCTCTACTTTCCCCCTTCTATTAATAAACATGGCACCATTTTAAGTAATGAAACTCAGCCACAGCTCGCATGGAAGTTCATTAGTAGTCACATTTGGATCTGTCTTCACTATAAGAAGCTCTGAAAGCAACAGAAAAGTAAGTACTAGATACCAGAATAAGCCTGTCATGCACTGGATTGTCAAATATCCATGAATAGAAATGATAAAAACATTTTTCTTATTTATAATATCACCACCATTCTAATTCGTGAAATTTTTTAGTGAATAAAAATTATTACATACAACATTACATACAACATTTAAAAACACACACACACATGGTCTATGCATTTGCAGAACCATGAGATGCTTTGATGGAGATAAAAGGGCTGATGAGGGGGAGAGAAGAGGCACAGAGTGTTTACCTGTCCCAGCTAATTTGGGGGTTGGTTCCTGGAGTAGCGGGGATTTCTCCCAATGATGGGGGCTCAGCTGGTCATGAGATCCTGCCTGGGAAGGCTCCTCCACGGAGCTCTCCCTGAGATCTCGCCTAGGAGTTTGCAGTTGAAAGTCTGGCAGTTCCTGTTCTCCAAGCTGGGATCCAGTTTTCTCCAAGAGCACCTTCTGCCCCTGCATACAAACGGCCACCTAGGAACAAGCCCCATCCATTAACACCATCCATGAGGACTAAGGGCAGCTTTTCTTTTCACTGCTCTATAATGAATCCTTTGCCTTGGGAATTCCTGATAACGGTCTAGAGGTCAGCTTTCATAGAGACCATTGAAACTCTCAAAGGAAGCAAAGGGATGGTATGCAGAATGACAAGAATGAGGCTGCTGTGAACTGGTGAAAACTTCTTGAGTGGCTGCCCCTAAAGCATGGGCCTTTCTCAAGGCCTGGAGTCAAAGTCATCAGAGGAGAGCTGGCACAAATATCAGGGTCAGTCATGATACCAGCCCATGAGATTCCAACCCTACATACCACCCCTTCTCTACTTCTGCTGGAGACAGGCCTTGTAGGAATGGGAAGCAGTATGGTAAGGAGCCGTTAAAAACCATTCTTATCTAATAAATTGTTCTGCCAAACTTTCCTGGTAAGGAGACAGGGGTCTAAGAGGACCCCTCATCCCTGTTCCCTAACAGGTTCCATTTTCATTCCTGCTTGCTTCCTGCCTAGGCCCTGACTGGGGTCCAACTTGGGGCATGAGGGGTGGGCAGCAATAGCAACATTGGCTAAATTAAGCCGTAACTTCCTAATCCAAAGACAATATGCCAGACACTTCACTGGAACAAGGTCCAATGAAGTTCCCCGAAGTCAAATTCATACCCAACAGGATGACCTTGCCTGCTAAGAATTCTGATTGTTAGAAAAATTTAAGAGGAATGGGTGGGGTAAGATCTGACAGCAGAAATTCAAGAACTACTTCTGGTGACATGAGGCCCGTAAAGGAATGGTAAGAACCTTGGTCCTCTATTTCCTCACTGGATGTCAGTAGCTCGGTTTTCTGAAAACCTGTTACAATTGACAGGAGGTTCCCAGATAGAGGCAACTTTTGAAGCCATCCAGTCCATTTCTGGACTCTTTAAATAAGGAGAGATCCAGAGACCAAATATCACCCAGATGAAACAGAAACCCTGGGGACCACGAGAGAGGACCCTCCTTACCCACTGCTTTGGTTTCTTGGATGATCTGTGAAACTCTTCCACCAGGGTCACAATCTCCTTGCTGCTCACTGGACATCGATGCCTGACCCGCGCCTGGATCTCGGGGGGCAGGATGGTCAGGAACTGCTCCATCACCAGAAGGTCCAAAATCTGCTCCTTGGTGTGTAGCTGAGGCTGCAGCCACTGATGGCAGAGCTGTTGGAGCCTGGAGAGTGCCTCTTGGGGACTAGACACCTCTTGGTAACAAAACCGTCTGAAGTTCTGGCGGGAAAGCTCAGGATCGGGGCAGTTTTTTGGCAGAGTAGGCCCCCGTTTCTCTTCCAGTTTTGTTATTATGTGTCTCTCTTGCTTGGAGGAAGCTTCTGTGTGGGAACTCAAAGTTATCTCCATTTTAGCCGCCATTTTGGGGATCAGGAGACAACTTCTCTCTCCTAGTAACCGGGTCAAGCCTCTGGGATCATGACTCTGGAGAAGTCTCTCTGAATGCTAGAAAGATGCTGGAAACCGAAGCTCCTCTGAGGGTGCTAGGGAGGACAGGATGCAGAAATAGGGCCTTCTCATTTGCTAGCCTTTACCCCAAACTCTGAAGACAAAGCAGTCCCTGGCAGTGGGAAGAGTTTGTCTTTCCCTCGACGAATTTTTTGAACTATCGAAGGAAAAGTTATAACGTCCTAAAGGGACACCGGGGAAAATACTTCTTTGGTTTCAGTAATAAGCACACAGGTCTCAGACGAAATGGGCAATACGATCTAACGGGCTGACAGACAGAATCCCTGGGAAAAGTTCAAGCTGTCTTACAGGTAGCTTGCACTAACTCTCCCGCATCCTGGCTGAAACCGACCTCGAGCATATAGATGAGAGCTAGAGGATAGAGCCAAGGAAGACCACAGCACAAGCCTGGGGATGTGAGTTAGCGGTGAGCCTTCTGCCCTCGAGCGAGGCTGATGCAGGCGCGGTGACTGCTCGCTCCCGAGGCGTCGCAGGCCCAGCAGCTCTGGCCTCCAGGCGTCCCGGCTCCGGCTACGCGGCCCAGCTGGCCCTGTGCCTGGCAAAGCTGCGGCAGTCCGGCGCGCAGCTCAACTACACAGCGGCGTGCGAACTCGGGCTGGCGTCTGCGACACCACTAAACCGAGCAGGCCAGCACTTGGCACTCACCTACCGCCGACTCACCTCTCTGGGAACCCGGGACCTGGCACCCAGGAGCACGGGCTGGGGGCGGGGCCGAAGCCGCGCGTCGCGGGGACGCCCACTGGCTGCCGTGGAATTGCCGCGGGAGGGCCCGCCTCATCCCCAAAGGATTGGCTCCTAGAGGGCGCCCTCCACCGTCCATTGGCTCCTGGGTCTGTCAATAGTGTCGCAGTGCACCTCGGGAGCTGTAGTCCGGTGGCTCGACCATCGAGCGTGCGCAGTGAGCGGCCTAGCGGAAGGGCAAGAGCCGTTGACTTCCGGCCCGGTGTGACAGTTTTGGGAGTCGCGGGCGCTCTTGTCCGGTGAGTGCTCCGCTTCCGCGCGTTGGGCCCCTAGTCGGCCAAGGAGCCCCTTTCCACTGGGAGTCTTATCTGAGGTGGACGTCTCGGTGGACGGGAGGCCTCCCTCAGGCCTGGCGCCCCCGGACGCTCCGCGGTCGCCGTCCCCCGCCCCAACCGAGCGGGCCCAGGGCGGGTCCCGCCCCCTGAGAGCCCCAGACGCTCGTCCTGATGGACGCGCCTGGACCCTGCTCATCTAGCCCCGACCTGCCCACCCCCTACTCCTCGCCCACAGTGCCTAACCTAGCACTGAAGGTCTAAGAACTCAGTAAATACTTGACGAGTGAAAAATGAATCAGCCGGGCTCCCGGTGCTCATTCCGCATTTCTCCGAGTGCTTGAGCCATCTCTGGAGTGAAAGAAATTTTGGAGAGACCAGCATTTTAAAATTTAATGATGAATGCGATGCAAGGGGTCAAGAGGAGTGCAGGATCCACCTCTGCATGAAACTAGAATAGCACTTATTAAATTATTCTCCAGCCAGGTAAGGTAGAAGATGTGAGAACATGTGCAAGGCAGAGGGTACAGGTTTCAGTTCTGGCCTTGCTGCTTCCAAGCTATGCCGTGTGATGCTAGGCAAGATACTTAACCGCTCTCCATTTCTCCTCTTTGGCTACAAAGGAGTGCTAACAGTAATGCCCTTGGCTTCTCTGTCTCTAGCCCCTCTTGCCCCTCTGAAACATAAAGAGAATCTAAGTGAGCATCAAGTTCTTTGAAAAAAGGCAACCCAAATCCATTTTTAAAAAAATAATTAAAATTTGTAATTGTAAAAAACATAAAATTTACCATCTTAACCATTTTTAAGTCTACAGTTCAGTAGAGTCTGTTCATGTTGTGCAACTTGAATCCACTTTAATACTGCCTAGTGGGAGTATATCAGCTCCTGTATAAAATTTTAAATTGCCCTTTATGATTGTATCTGTTTTAATCTGTGTTTTAAGTAATTAAAACCCAACTCAAACTAATTAAAAAATATTGCCTTACCTAAACTGGCCTTGGAGATCCAAATATGTATCCTTCTCCTATAAACAGGCCCACCCCGGTGCTGGAGGAGTGGAATAGAGAGTGGGACACAGTTGCAGAGAGCTCCAGTCTTACATCTGCCAATGTAGCATTTCCCAGGAAATTCAGAGCTTTTCCCACTCCTCCTACATGTGAATTTTGTTAGGCCCAGATGTTATATACCCACTCCTGGGGTTGGGGGAAGGATATTGTAATTAATAGCCCCGCTAGAATCAATGAATTAGAGAGGGACTCTTTCACAAAGAAGATCCTGCTATCAGAAGTGGGGAAGGAATGCTGGAAAATAAAAACATACAGCAAAGCAGAACAGTGACTTATCCACATTCTGTGTGTGTGTGGGGGTGTTGATGGTGGTGGTGGGGAGTGTGGTGTAATAGTGATGAAGAGATTAATCAAGAAGCACACACTCACTAGTTGTCTCCTTAAGAGAAGGTAGCAACTGGGAAGGTGAGTCCAGACTTCTTGAGGGTAGGGAAGGACAAGAAAAAGGTGAGGGAAGAAGGGAAGGAACAGGTGGACTACATTGTGAGGAATAGTTTGGGTAATTTGTTAGACTTAGAAACTTGGTCGGAGAGAAAACCGTTTTTTGATATTTCTAGTGTTTTGGATCCTTGGTGTGGATTTGTGGAGGAGTCAAAGGGATAAAGTCAATCGCAGGGAGCAGAGTGAGGGAATATGGGATCGGTTTATGCTGTCTTTTTTCATCCTCTTCAACTTCCCTTTAGAGCTGAGTCTTTTCTTTCAACTGTGAGTCTCTGCACATCTGTGACACTCTCACGTCCCTCTGATTCCAGAAAGACACTCCTTGCAAGAGAACATGACTTCCCAGTGATACAGGAAGAGAGGGAGTCTGGTTCCCAGGGTAGAAGTGGCAACCAGAGTGAGCCAGTTCGTTGAAGAAAATGATGGCTGCAGCAAGGAGTCCCCAGGCACACTCATCCTCAAACAAGGACTCCACACAGGGCCAGAAATCAGCCATTCAGGGCAACAGCCCTGACTCTGAGGCCTCCCGCCAGCGCTTCAGGCAGTTCTGCTACCAGGAGGTAGCTGGCCCCCATGAAGCTTTTAGCAGACTCTGGGAACTCTGTTGTCAGTGGCTGAGGCCTAAGACACACTCCAAAGAGCAAATCCTGGAGCTGCTGGTTTTGGAGCAATTTCTGACTATCTTGCCAGAGGAGATCCAGACCTGGGTGAGGGAGCAGTGTCCGGAAAACGGTGAGAAAGCTGTGGCTCTGGTTGAGGATGTACAAAGAGCTCCTGAACAGGTGAGAAAGGGAAGCTGAAACCTTGTGGTTTTGGCTATGAAGAAGTTGGATGAGGAACACAAGAATCCAGTTACTGGAGAGGCACTTGGTTGAGAAATGCACAGTAGCCCTCTGCTGCCCACAGAAGGTCTTGGCTTTCTTGGGTTGTTTCTATGCCCTTAATTGTATGGGAAGAATTTCTCGTGTGTGGATATAACTGTTAGATATTCATATATTTAGTTAATGTCTGGAGTCCCCAATTAAAGTGGTAAAAATACTCAGAAAAATTCTCCAAAACAAAGCCAAGGAAAGGACAACTATCCTTCACTCAGGGGGTCAGGAAAGCTAGAGGTTTTGGTGAATAAAAATCTAATCTCTTGCTAGAAGGTTTTTTGAGGGCAGAGTGCTATGTATTGTACAATAAACAAAGTTGTCTTAGAGCTGGGCCTTACCATGGTTCTTGCTGCCTGGATTGGTCGGTTGGGGACAGTGGTGGGGCCTCACAAAATATCCTCTTGTAGTTGGGACTAAGTCTAAGATCTGATCGGTGTAACCAGCTTATATCTTCTGGGAGAAGGGAGGTGTGACAGGCATTGAAAAGGAAAAGTAACATACGGGCTTTGGTTGTGGGAGAGTTGGTGGGAGGAAGGCAACTGAAATCTGGTACGTCTGGGGAGGCCTAAGTAATGGAGGGGTGTGTGTCGAGGAGTGCTCGTCAGCCCGAGTGGGTCCGCAGTCAGAGGGGGAAGGTGCCCTGAGTCTGCGTGGCTGGAGCGGGAAGGACCCAGGAAGCGGAGGTGCTTGTGTTTCCCAGTGAGGAGGGGGGGTGGTGAAGGGGGACGTAGATGAAATTTGGTAGGATCGAGGATTGAGTACTTTCGACTGACTGTAGAGAGGGGAAGAGCAGCTTGGTGGTGATGCATTAGGGAAAAGTTGAGGAAGTTAGTTGGAAATCTGTGGGATTGAGTGGAGAGGCGCAGTAGCACACATGAAGGTAGAGCTTGGAGAGGTGAACTAAATAGAGTGGGAATCCCAATATGCTAACAGTCATCCTGGCCCCAGTTCCCCAGGCCACCCCTCTGTGTGGATGCTCCCTGCCCTTCTTATCCCTCACCGTTTCAGAGCCAAACTCTTAATATAAATGAAAACAGTGCAGGAGTGTAAAGGTTAAACACCCATTTGAAACTGATCATGAAAGTGAAAGGCAGAGTAAGAAGTGGGGGTGGGGAGTAGTAATGGCAGTAGATGTAATTTCTCAGGACCCCACTTGCCTCTCAGTACCGCTCCTCATTCACTTTAAGGAAGGTTAAAGCGTGGGACTTAAAAGAATGAAGATGGCTGTGAAAGACAAAAGTGGATTTTAAGTGACCACGATGTGCCAGATGTCAAGGATTTTCCAGCGAACATGCCAGGCATGGCCCCTGGCCTGGCCTGCTGCAGCCTGTATCCACGGGGAAACAGACAGGCAATAGCAAATGAAGGCCAGTTTCAGATAAGTGCTCGGAAGGAAATGAGCAGGGTGATCTGGTAACTGTCACGGGGGGGTGATCGGTTGTGAGGCAAGGTCTCTCTGAGGTGACACTGACGGAGGAAAAGGGACCAGTTGTACCACGAGCTGGGAGAAGAGTACTCCAGGCAGAGGGCACAGTACACGCCAAGAGCCTAAGGTGGGAGAGGAGTTGGCATGTCTGGGACAGAGAAGGGAGGGCTGGTGGCTGGCGCTCAGGGGTCAGGAGAGAGTGGTATGAGAGAGTGAGAGAGGAAGGCGGGGGCCAAGGTGGATGGCCTTTTAGGCTGCGAACAGGAGCTTGGATTTTATTCTCTGTGCAGTGGGAAGCTACTGGAGAATGTTACCAGGAAGGGATGTGATCTGAGATTTTAAAAACATCACACTGGATTCCATGTAGAGGGAATGGAGTGGAAGGTCCAGCGCAGAGAGAGGATGCAGGGCAGCCGGTTAAGAGGCCATGACAGCAGTCCAGGCAGCTGACCGTGTCCTGGACCTGGCTGGAGGCTGTGGAGGTGGAGAGAGAAGACAAATGCAAGGTATCTTTTTGAAGGTAGAACTGACATTGGATTTGGGGGGAGAGGAAATAGCTTTGTGCTGAGGTCACAGCGGCTTTCTAAAGTGAAAGCTGATGTTCTCACTTCTAACAAATGTACGCCAGTTTTAGCAGTTCTGGTGTGTCAGGCTCTATATGCTAGGTGATTTCATATAAATATTCTTAACCACTTCAAAGACCTAATTCTAGTAATTTTTATTTGATTGCAACAGCAATATAGTGACTCCTAGATACTTCTTTTCTGCTTCCTTATGTTTCACATCATTTTTAAATGCCATTCTTAGGGGTTGTAAAGCCCAGCTTAGGCAGGAATTCGTAGTGATGGATCGTGGGGTCTGTTCTCAGGTCTCAGGTTCTGAGAAGGACTTGAAAGTGCTCGTGGAGGAGGTGGCCCCTTGGGGAGCAGCCAGAGAGTCACTGAGATCCCAGTGGAAACAGGCGGTTCAGCCAGAGGAGCGGACTCTGAAGGGATCACAGAGCTCACAGCAAAGTCCAGGGGAGCAGTCAGAAGGTGAGCAGAAGCCTCTGTCCTCACCTGGAAACAAAGGTCTGAACTTGAGTCCACCCAAGGGTTCCAAATTAAATGCCTTTGAAATATGTCCAAAGAGCAAGATTTCAAATTTGAGTTGAGGGTAATAGCACCTAAAATAGGGATGAAGATTCTTTATGTGTTAGCCTAATTCTCTTTCCTTACAATTTCACTGTGTTAGTTCGGAACCAGGTGTTACTAAAAATGAGCATGGTTACCCTCACCTTCTGCACAGCAGTTCTTCGTGTACTTGAAGACATAAAACCGCCTTCCCCATCCAGCTTCATCTTTGCCAGAATACATTTCTCCTGTCATTTTCACCTTTCTTCCAAAGCTCTATTTTTTGTTTTTACTTGTCTTAATTTTTTTAGAAAACTTTTTTAATTAAAAAAATTTAATTGAGGTGAAATTCACATAACATAAAATTAACCATTTTAAAGTGAAGAATTAGGTGGCATTTGGTACATTCACAGTGTTGTGCAACAACTACCTCTATCTAGTTCCAAACATTTTCCTCATCCCAAAGCGAAACGCTGTACCTGTTACACAGTTGCTCCCATTCTGTCTCTATGGATCTACCTGTTCTGGACATTTCGTATCAGTGGAATTATACACATTATATGACCTTTTGTGTCTGGCTTCTTTCACTTCTTTCGAGCATGTTTCAGTACTTTATTCTTTTTTTGTGGCTGAGTAGTATTCCATTGTATGGATATACCAAGTCTTTATTTATTTATTTAGAAGCAGGGTTTTGTTCTATTGTCTGGGTTAGAGTGCAGTGGTGTCATCATAGCTCGCCGCAACCTCAAATTCCTGGGTTCAAGCGATTCTTCTCCCTCAGCCTCCCAAGGAGCTGGGACTACAGGTGCTCACAACCATGCCTGGCTATTTTTTTAATTTTTTGTCGAGATGAGGTCTTGCTATATTGCTCAGGCTGGTCTAGAACTCCTGGCCTCAAGCAATTCTCGTGCCTTGGCTTCCCAGAGTGCTAGGATTATAGGCATGAGCCACTGCACTTGGCCCAGGGTCTATATTTTTACAAGTCTTTTCCCATGAAGCAACTTGGCTAGATATATTCTAGATAACCTTAAGGCCCATTGCTGCCTTTTCTGCTTAATGGAAAGCTGACATTACATGTTGCTAGGTAATTTTTGAACCCAGCACATCTTTACATAATTCAAATCCTAGAGGAAAACACCGGCCTTGATGTTAAGTTGACAAACTTGTTTACAAAATGGAAAATTGTCTAAGAGGTTCATTTGTTTTAGTATTCTTTAAGCAAAATAAATACTCATCGATATTTTTCTAAACTTTGCCATTTGGTGTTTATTTCCTTTTAGTCATCGGGAATACCTGTGCTCTCTGACACGTGATCTCCGAGGCTAGCGGGCGCTGTGAGTGAAGGGAGGCCTCGCAGTGCTCTCTCCGCTTCCCTGCCCGCAGGCCGCTCACGGTCTGCAGTGCTATAACCTCCCAGGGGTCACATGCCTCTGAGTTTATGCTGAAGTTCAATTAGTAAGTCATAAAAATATATCATTTCATTTGTAGAATTCTTAAAAGTAGGGGTTTGGGAAAGAATATATTATCTTGGTCTGAAAAATATAAAAGTTTTCAGTTACTATGGTTTTTTTTTTTTTTTGAGACAGAGTCTCACTGTGTTGCCTGGGCTAGAGTGCCATGGCGTCATCCTAGCACACAGCAACCTCAAACTCCTGGGCTCAAGCGATCCTCCTGCCTCAGCCTCCCGAGTAGCTGGGACTACAGGCATGCGCCACCATGCCTGGCTAATTTTTTCTATATATTTTTAGTTGTCCAATTAATTTCTTTCTATTTTTAGTAGAGACGGGGTCTTGCTCTTGCTCAGGCTGGTTTCGAACTCCTGAGCTCAAACAATCCGCCCGCCTCGGCCTCCCAGAGAGCTAGGATTACAGGCGTGAGCCACCGCGCCCAGCCTACTATGGTATTTTTAAGAGTACTATGGTTATCTCTGGGTGGTGGGGCTATGGAGAGATTTTTTCCCCCCTCTATTATTCTAGTTAATTTTTTTGCCTCTAACATGTGCGTATTTCTCTAAAATGAAAAAAAATTTTAAAGCTGTTATGCCAAGAGGAATCTAGTGAAAAGAACTTGTCAACACATACAGGCCGTTGGCTATGGCAGTGGTTCTCAAACTTGAGTGTGCCTTGGATTCATCTAGAGGGCATGTTGAAGCACAGCTTCCCAGGCCCTACCTGTAGAGCTTCTGATTCAGAGGATCTGAGGTGAGGCCCCAGAATTTGCATTTCTGACAGGTTCCCAGGTACTGCCGATGTGGCCAGCCCAGGGAGCCCACTTTGAGAACCTCTCCTCTGTGGCTGTTACGCGGAAGTTTCCCTCTATTAGTGGCTATTTTCTTCCCCAGCCTGGCTTGCTCCTCAAGTTCCTAGGAATCTGCCCCAAAAGAAGGGTCTTCGAGCCCAGGAGACAGGTACCATAGTCTGGACAGCTGGGTCCCAGGTGAGCTGTGGTTGATGCCTTCTGTTTCTTTTGAAGTTCTCACTTCACCTTAGCACTCACTCTCACACTAAAATGCCTTCTTTTCCGAAGACCTTATAAAGATTTTATGTAATCCACCGAGCTTCTCAGGTATTCTGTCCACTCTGACATCATCACGTGGCTCTTTCCCATCCCGATCCTTCCCATGGAGGGCTGATCTCCCGCTGCCTTTGCTTTGCCCCTGATCTGATGACTGTGGTCCTGTCTCTGCCCCCACCCCAGGCTAGAGCGGTGCTATTTTATCCGTAGCAGCAGCCCTGGTGTTGTTACAGGGACCAGCCACGTGCAAGGACAGAGCCATATCTCTCTGTCAGCAAGAGTGGGTGCACGCTGGCCCTGCACAGAGGGTGCTCCACAGGGGTGCTGCACAGGAGCACGGACATGTCTCGCTGGGTAAGGATCCACCTTCCCTCTAGGTCCAGATGGATGTGCTCAGTTGTTCAGAGATACCGAAAGAATCCAAGAGCGAGGGAGACAGAGGGAGTGGGGAGACTTTTAGGTAGAAGGAAAGGAGGGAATAAATGGGAAGCCAGAGCAGGCGAGATAGACACAGGCAGAGACTGCAAGAAAGAGGCAGCACGGGAGTCAGGCCTTGTGACAGGGATGGCAGCACGTGTGAGAAGGCGAGCAAGAGCAAGGGAGGGAGTGCGAGGACATGAAAGATGAGAGAGGGGGAGAAGCAAGTGCAAGGGGGAGACAGAGACAGGCAGGAGCCAGACAGGCAGTGGCAGAGGGGAGGGAAAGGTGAGAGTCGGATGGATGTTTGCTTGCACACACAGGTGGCTGCGGTAGCTCCCGAGTTTCTCCAGTGGCAGAGATTAAAAACAAGACATCCTGGCTGTGATGGGCTACTTCTGTGCCCAGGCCTTTCTGGGGGAACCAAGCCCTGTCCTAGAGTCTCAGGACACTCGGGGAAGGTCTGCTGATTGGACTGCTCTCTTGCCTTTCTCAGATCATTCTGCCCCATCTGGGCCAAATGCCACCTCCTCAGAGCAGCCATCCAGATTCAGAGACAGGTGCTCTGCAGCTTGCTGAGCCTTGATGTCTCCTCTCTGCTTCTTCACATGCAGGGTTTGCCATTCACGGTCCGAATGTTGGCTCTGGGCTGGATCAAAGAGAACACACAGGGACCCCAGATTTTCATGGCTGCAGGGTGAGGAAAAGGTCTGAGAGTTCCACAAGTGAGACTGGAGTGGAAGCCCCTGAGAAATCAGCAATAGGGGAAGAAGGAATCAGGGGTGATGCAAAACAGCTGGACTCAGCAAATGAGCACGTCACAGGTATACGTTGGGCTTCTGAGGAAACTAGGACTTTCCTTTCTATTCTCAGTGAGTCTCGGTTTTATGAAAAACTCCAGATGCACCAGCACAGCAGCCAGCTGTATGGGGAAGTTGCTGAGCTCTTGTGTGAACAAGGTTTCCACCGGACTCTGGAGCAGTGTCAAACCAAGTTCAGAAGCCTCCAGGCCAGTTACCATCCAGGGAGGCAAGGCTGCAGCCCAGAGCCCCGTGCCTTCCAAGAGGAGATAGAAGCTCTGCTGGCCTCACAGGGGCCCCGCAGTTCTCCCAGGAGCTTGGCAGACAGGGCTGTTGAGGCCAAAGGGCCAGGCCAGGGTCCACAGGCTCAGAAAGAGATAGAGGATGAGGACACAGTAGAGGACTCAAACAGCTGCAAAACCAACGGCAAGCAGCCAGTCCAGGCAACTGGGAGCCCCGACAGCTACAGCCTGCTCCAGAGCCCCTTGGGTGAGGACCTCTCTGCATCTGTGTCCTTGTGCTGACTGCTTGTTTGTAAACCACGCCTCCACAGAGCTTTCTTCCAGCTATAAAATTGGTGCTGGTTCCTATTCCTGGGGGTTCCTATCCCTTACAGTTGGGGGCATTGTTGGGATAAAAGCTGTTTGGTTTGCCATGTACAGGTTACATACAGGGAAAAGTAGTACCTAAATTTTTAGGTTGTCTGGGTCAACCTAATTTTCTTTTCAGTATGAAGTCTGAAAGCCAGGTATGTTTCTGTCACCAAAGTAGTGAATTGTCTGAGGAGGTGGTATATCCAGATTTTGTTAACATAAAAGAATGATGATGATGTTAGCCTAGGAATGCATACTGTATTCTCTATGGAAGGTGGGTGATGCCACGGACAGGTACCTGTGTGATTACAAAAGCTTATCGTTAGGAATCAGGTTCCACTGCAGCTGCAGATTGATCTGTGTCCAGCGTGAGTATATTCCTCAGAACATATACAAGTTACTGCCATCAGTAACCAGCATCATAGCCGTGTTTCGGTTGCTTATTGCTGCAAAACAAACCACTCCAAAACTTGGCGGCTTAAGACAACTATTTCTCACCATTCTGTGGGTTGACCGGGTGGTTCTGCTTCTTGATGTTGAGGTTGCAAGATCCAGAATGGCCTCATCACCTGGCTGGCACTTGATGGTGGCCACCAGCTAGGAGCTCAGCGAGCTCTATCAGATGGGCACAGCCTCACACCTGCTTCCCCAAGCAAGTTTTCATGTTTTAGGGAAAAAGGCCATAGTGAGACTTCTTCCCAGGAACAGCAGTAGCCAGTTGTGGCACAGTTTGAGAAACAAGGATGTAACGTCTTAGGCTGCTAAAACCCCGCACTGCAATACTTACAGTCCCCCCGATCTGACTGTCAGATCTCATTGATCTGTTCTCTGTCCCCTGGCAAGCAGGTGTGCACTGGGGCTATGAAGAGACCAAGACACTCCTGGCCATTCTCAGTAGTTCTCAGTTTTACGGAAAACTCCACACCCATCAGTGGAACAGCCAGATCTACAGGGCCATGGCGGAAAGACTCCGGGAGCAGGGCTTTGTGCGGACCCCAGAGCAGTGTCGCAACAAGTTCAGAAGCCTACAGTCGAGTTACCGAAAAGTGAGGCAAGGCTGTGTGCCTGAGCCTTGCATCTTCTACGAGGAAACGGATGCTTTGTCAAGCTCCTGGGCCTCTGTACCTCCTGTGGCAAGTAATGCTGTTCCTCGCCTAGAGGGAAGTGTCATCGAGGCTAAAGAGTGGCATCAGTGGAACGGGGAGCCCACAGAGGTTGTCGAAGATGGCACTGTGGATGGTATAGACAGGGATGACAAAGACTTTGGGAACCCTGGCCAGGAAGTCAGAAAACTTGACCTGCCTTCCCTGTTCCCAAACAGACTTGGTAAGACTCTGTTGGCTCTGATGGTCAAAGGATGGGAAAGTCTACCTAGAGGCCATTAGCCTAGCAGTCAAGAGGGAACTGTCACCACTGCTGGCTTTGTCATCATGTGTGACCTTATACAGGCCAGGAGTCTTGGTTTTCATGGTGTTTAAGGATTATTCCCCTTGGATTTTAGAACCTTGATTTTGTGTTTGCCAACCTCTTTATCATCTTTTACCATGGAGTTCCAATACTTTGCTTCCTCAGATTGCTAGTTAGGCCTCCAGACCAGGTTCCTCCTCCTTCCTCCTCCTCTAGCATGCCTACTCCTTTCATAACCTGAACTGTACTGGCCAGGTACTTAGCACCTTGCTTTCTTCCTGTTTAAGCTGGCCAACCCACAGTGGCCTTTTCTTGTTCTGCTGCCAGAAGTTAGGCCATTCAAGAACTGAGTGTACACCTATAAATAGACTGGTAGATGACATAGAGTTTGACCCTTTGCCTCGGTTTGTCATTGTGTCGGAACATCCAAAAAGACATAGGAGAAAAGTTGCTGGAGTTTAGGGTGTGATTTGCCAGTGACCACAGAATTTGGAGCTCAAAAGTATTACAATTGGAGAATAAAACTTAGGCTTTTAATTAGCGGGAGACTTAATCACATGAAGAATTCCAATTGTGTATTTCTTCTTTGTAGTATAGTTGTAACTCTTTTTGCATTCCATTGTTTGCCTTCTCTACGGTCCATTTTATTGCTTTTTTCTTTTTTTTTTTCCTTTAGGTTTTGAGAGCAAGAATGGGACTAAAAAAGAAAATCTAAAATGGGATGATTCAGAGGAAGTAGAAATGAACAAGACTTTACACAGAAAATCTAGTGGAGAAGTTTTTTGGCACTCTGAGCTAAAAAAAGTCTGGGAGAGTGAGCCAACGTCAAGAAGGCAATATAGAAATTCTCCAGTGGAGAGTGAGGAAAAACCCCCATCCCAGGACAAAACAAGTCACCAGAGACTTTATACTGGAGACAAAGCCTGTACACATTTCCTCTGTGGGAAAAACTGCTCTGTGCTCTTTCCCCACAAGCCAGCCCACGAATCGGAAAAAGCTTCTCAGTGTCCTGAATGTGGAAGAACCTTTAGCCGAGGTTCTTACCTTGTTCGGCATCAGAGAATCCACACAGGTGAGAAGCCTCACAAGTGCAGTGAATGCGGGAAAGGCTTTAGTGAGCGCTCCAACCTCACTGCCCACCTACGAACTCACACAGGGGAGAGGCCCTACCAGTGTGGGCAGTGTGGGAAAAGCTTCAACCAGAGCTCCAGTCTCATTGTCCACCAGAGGACCCACACGGGGGAGAAGCCTTATCAGTGCATTGTTTGTGGAAAGAGATTCAACAACAGTTCCCAATTCAGCACTCACCGGCGCATCCACACTGGGGAGAGCCCCTACCAGTGTGCAGAGTGTGGGAAAAGCTTCAACAACAGCTCCCACTTCAGTGCCCACAGGAAAACCCACACTGGGGAAAAGCCTTACAAGTGTTCTCAATGTGAGAAAAGCTTTACTAAGAACTCTGCCCTCACCCGCCATCAGGCAGTACACATAAAAGATAACTCTCATCATAGGAAGGGAGAGGTGTGTTATAAATATGTAGGAAACCTGAGAGATCAGTTCCTTAGGTCAATGTGTATTCCTTAGAACTTCTTTCTGCTTGTGGCGAGATCTAGTCAATCTCTGGCTTAGTAAGTAAACTTACTGACAACTGGATCTTAAGAACCATGTCCAGGAACAGGAAATCAGCATAAGGATGCTGACCTCTTTTGGCTCTGGCTGTGACTTCAGAGTCCTGTCTTACTGTGACTTAAAGTTTGTTCTGATGGGGAGAAAGCTGTAGGATCCGTAAGTTCTGCCAGAAAACCAAGGCCTCCCTGTTCCAAACATTGTTAACAGCAAGCATAACATCTAGGGTAATCTTTGTAAGATACCACTTTATCGTCACCCATACCTTCGTTCCTGATTGTCTCTTACAGTAAATGGTTTATACACATTACTATTTCTGATAAAAATAAAGGTGTTTTTACCTCCACTTCCTTGGCCTTCGGTTATAATTTTCTTCAATAGAAACTTTACTTTTGTTTTTTTGAGACAGAGTCTTCCTCTGTTGCCCTGGGTAGAGTGCAGTGGCATCATCATAGCTCACTGCAACCTCAAACTCCTGGGCTCAGGTGATCCTCCTGCCTTAGCCTCCCAAGTAACTGGTACTACATGTGCGTGCCACAACACCTGGCTTATTTTTCTATTTTTAGTAAAGACAGGGTCTTGCTCTTGCTCAGGTTAGTCTCGAACTCCTGAGTTCAAGTGAGCCTCCTGCCTTGGCCTCCCAGGGTGCTAGGATTACAGGTGTGAGCCACTGCACATGGCTAAATAGAAACTTTATACTGATGTAGAAGCCTGTGGGGTCCTGAAGATGATCTAAGTGTAGAGTCTGTTTCAGGGCAGTCAGACATGCAGAGACAGAATAAGGGGCAGGAAATGGGGAGAGGAGGAAAAGAATTAAGTTGGGAAGGGTTTGAGCCATCATGAGAAGGAATATCATAGGAATAAGGAAAAAACAGGTACTATAGGAGGATCTGACTGCAAAGAGAATAGTAGGTTACAGGAAGGATGGGTGTGACGAACACTAAGAACCAAACCTAAAACTTAATGATCCAGAACAAGTCACAGATATTTAAGCTTTTATGAAATTGCCACGGATTAAAAATGGTAAAAGGTGGGTACGTTGTCTACAGTTGTTGGCTTGTATATGCAAAGTTACAGGACCTTGTCTAAGCTATGGTGATAAGCAAGCATTATGGCTCTGCTTGACCCTTTTTGAAGAATTAAATATGAGCAAAGGAGAATGTACGTTCTACCTCAAAGCCAGAAAAAAATTAAAATGGAAGGAGAAGGAGAAGCAAAGGTAGAATATACTTAAGTGTTTCCTCAAGTTGAGCCCTGCCTGGGCCACTATTTTTCCCTGCCACTGTCCTTGAGCATGGCCCTAAGGGGAAGCTATGCAGGGCAGTTCCTGGAGTCACAAAGTTAATAGCCTCTGCTCTACATAGAAAAGGCCATCTTTGAAGGGTCTGGGCAAAGGCAAAGAGGTCAGCTGGAATGAGACCTGTTAGGGACAGCATGACTTTATTGGTGATTCCTGGTGGGAAAGAGGGAGACAGCCCAGGGGTGGATCAGTTACTGAAGGGCTTTGGATATCAGCTCAAAGAAGTTAGTTAGATAAGTGAGGAGAGCCAGTGAAAGTAATCAGAAGAGACAAGGAAGTGGAGATAGTTTATGAGGCCTTATTAGTAGGCTCCTCCCACTCCTGGGCCTACTGTGACCAGGGAAATTGAGATGGAACTGTTGCACTCCTTGCACATTTAGGTTGCCTTCACCCTCCAAACTGCATTGTCCTCTAGTCTGCTGGGCAGCAAAAGAAACACCACAAGTGCTAGAATCCCTAACCCTTGCCTGTCAACCATTCCAGATGATCTACAGTAGACGGGTAAGAACTGGAGAATATATTCATTTATTCAGGAAATATTTGGTTACCTATAATATACCAGATATTGGAGCCGGATATAACACAGTAGACAAAGTAGATACTGTATCTTCCAGAACCAGCCTCATTGGGCCCCCTCATAGGTACTAGCACCAGGCAGGCAACACTGCCTAGCCAACGCCCCCACAAGATATGAGTCCCAGCTCTGTAGAGCCTGTTTTCCAAGCTGCCCAGTTCTGGTAAACTCAACCTTTCCCCGTGTTCCCTCAATGCCATGTGAGGTCACTGGTTCCCACACTATCTCTGTGGCTGCAATGTTCCCTTTCACTCTTTTTTTTTTTTCAGTTCTACCACGCCCATCCTACAAATTCCTTATATTAAATTCTCTCTTTGAAATGCCTAGAATGGTTTCTGTTTTCCTGACTGGACTTCGTTATTACATGCTATGCTAAGAATTTTAGATTTTATCATAAGTGTAATGGGAAGCCCCTGGAGGATTAAGCAGGGAGTGACATTATTCTCTTAATCTGACTACTGTGTGGAGAATTGATTAGAGCTAAAAGAGGAAGCAAGGAGACCGAGTAAGACTCTCTTAGCTGTGATGTCTAGAGACTCAGTTGTCTAGTCAAGTGACAGCAGTGGATATGAAAAAAGTGGATGGAATTAGTACATCTTGGAAGCATAATCAACATGTTGTGGTGATAGTTTTGTTATGGAAGTGAGGCAGAGCGGTATCAAGGCTGAACAGGTTTCTGGTTTGAAGAGGGTGCCAAGAGGTGGAGGGAGATGCCACTTACCAAGATGGCAATGGCAGGTAAAGCAGCAGATATGGGAAGCAATTCACAGGTTCAGTCTTGGATGTGTGGAGTTTGAGATACGTATGAGAAGTTCAAACGGTGAGGTAAAATAAGCTAAAGGATTTATACCTCTGTGGCTCGAACGAGAGGTCTAGAGATAGAAATAGGAAAATCATCTCTATGATGGTATTTAAAGCTGTGAGAGTGAGGAAATGGCAGTGTGGCTCAAACCATGGCCCATGGACAACTTGTACCAGTGTAACCTTGGGTATTGGTTGCATAAAACCTGGGCTGCCCCCGTACACACACAGTCTCCGAACAAGACAGATCCCAATGGTTTGAATTTGTAACAAGCTCCAGAAATAACTTTTATGCTCACTTAATTTTTAGAAGACTTGGCTAATTGAGAGAATCTGGAGTGAAAAAAGAGGACCTGAAACCAAAGCCTGAGAAACAATACAGAGAGGCCTGGTAGAAGAGTGGCATTTGGAAAGGAGAGGAATGGATAGAGAGGGAGAAAGAACACCAGGAATGTGTGTCAAGGAAGTCAGGAGAAGGAATTTCAAGGGGAAGGGAGTGGCCAACTGAGTTGGACGCTGTTAAGAGGTCAAGTAAATTGAAGACCAAAAGGGTCTGGTAACATGGAGGTCAACAGAGCCCTCAGCAGGAGCAATTTTAGTGCAACAGTAGCAGCAGAAGCCAGATTAGAGAAGAGTGAAGGCACAGAAATACATGAAGATGAGGCTGTAGCTGAAAGAAAACGTGAGCTCAACAGCAGTTTTTAAAAACAAATGAGATACTCACAGCATGTTTAGATAATGTGAAGGATCCGGCTTCAGGGGTCCTCAAGACCACCCACGTGTTCAATGATTCACTAGACAGATTCACGGGACTCAGGTTTACTGCGGCAAAGGTTTATTATGGGGAAAGGATACATGATATAATTAACAAGGGGAAAAGCCACAGGCGAAGTCTGGGGAAATCCATGCACAGGCTTCCTTTCACCCTGCCCTCCTGTGAGGGGACACAGAGTACTTGAGTGGGCTCCTTTTTCCAACTACCAAAAGTGCGGTAACATGTACAATGTTTCTGCTCATGGAAGCCCACGAGAGAGGCGGTGCCCAAGGTTTTCACTGGGGGCTGGTCACGTAGGCGCCCGCTGCCTAGCAGGTACCCAAATAAACCACCCTTCTCAGTCAGGGAATAGTGAAACCCAAGTTCCCAGACTCCCAGAGCTAACCTTGAAAACCAAACCTTTCTGAAATAGCTTCAAGCCTGCAGAATTAACTCGTCTGCACAAATCCAGTAGGAGAGATTCAAAACATAACAGGGGATAAAAATTGGAGCAAGGTCCCTTGAGTGTGGGAGAGGACAGAATTCTAAGCACGGGAAAGGACTATCCTTTAATTGGAGATTTACATGTGGAGAATGGAGATGGCTTCAATTTGATGGTAGGAAGCAGAGTATTATCTTGTTAATCAAAGAGAGGAAAAATGTTTGGTTTTGGAATAATGTAGAAGTGATTGTTTTAATAAAACAACCAGTAGCTGATTTACGAGTCAGGAACTTCAAGACCAATGGAAAAACCCAGATAGTTGCGTGAGAAACGCATCCACCAGTGAAGCAATTTACTGGGATCTGCGAGTCAAGTCTGGGTTTCTCGGTAGCTCCGATGCACTCCTGCTATCCTAGACTGCGCGACTTGCGTAGGGACTATGAAACCGAGGGGTGAGTTGATTTGTTCAGGTTTGCCTGCCCTGCTTGCTCGTGGTTTCTTGCTTTTTGTTATGTTTTTGCCCTTTTCCATAAAGCTGAAGGCTGCAGTAGCTGAAGGCTGTGCCACTGAATGCTAAAACTTAACGTTCCCTGGCTACTACTTCACAGGTAACATTCATAAGTCACCATGGTAATGGTCCCGTTTTCCAGAAGCTTGGTTGAGACCACTCACCCTTCAACTGGGATGGCTTTTTGATGTCGAGGGCCAAAAACTCCACCCTCAGATCATATCAATGCCACCATTTTCTAAACATATGTCCTATGAAATGCCATGAACTCCTACTATACTGTGCAGAACAAACCTGTTATTTCATTTTTCCCCACTGCCAATCACCTTTCCCCACACCGTAGACCACCCCACTTCCCTAACCCATAAATATCCCTAAGCCTTATTTTTGAGGTGGATTGGAGAGCTGTTCTCCTGCCTCCTTGCCTGTCAACCTTGCAATTAAATATTTTCTCTTTTACAAAACTCATGTCACAGTGACTGATTTTCTGTGCCCGGGCAGAACGGACCTGGACCTGGCCAGGAACAGCTAAAGTGAAAGAGCTGGATTTTTTCCCCCCATTTGTAATGTTCCTCTTTTTTTGTTTGTTTTTTTTTTTTTTGAGATAGGGTCTCACTGTGTCACCTGGGCTAGAGTTCAGG